ATGCAAAAATGTGTGAATACGCTAGAACAAAGGAAACAGACTTTAACGTAATGAGTGGTAGACTTTCTTGCAGTCTTCTTATCCTCGACCCTATATACCCTTTATACAACCTCACTCACTGTACACGACTGACATCCTCCTCCCCAGCATGTTTTTCTTCGCTTATTTGCGATGTCGTTGCGGCAGTGTGCTGCGGCTCGCGGCTGCCGGAAGACGCACCTACGTTGTACTCGCTACGAGGCATGACTTCATTTTCAAGAGCGACATAGTCGTATGCGAATTCGCCCATCTCCGCATCGTCGACACCGAGGATCTCAGTCTCCTCGTCGCAACGGATCCGAAGGCCGGGAATATAGTGCATGACCCACAATATGATGGTCTATAGACGAGCGGAAAGTCAGATAAAGAAGGGCGGAAAAAGATGAGACTGACAGTCATGACGAAAGAGTAAGAAAGCCCAGAGACAGAATCTGCGAGTTGGATGCCGAGTTGACGGTAGTTCTGGTCAAGCCAACCTCCAGGAATCATAGTGATGCCGTCGGCACCAGCAACGCTTGATTGAGCGAAGAGACCAGTAAGGACGTTGCCAACAATACCACCAATGGCATGCGATGCGAAGATCTAACGTAGAATGAGCATCGATGATTTCATGCACACATGATGTTCACCTACATCGAGCGTATCATCGTACTTGAAGATAAACTTGAGCTGGGTGGCAAAGTTGCAGACGGTACCAGCCATGAAGCCGAACAAGACAGCAGCCGCTAATTCACGTCTCAAAAAATTTCAAAGGGTCCTAAAAAGTAAAACTCACGAGAACCCACGTAACCCGAACCAGGAGTGATAGCAACGAGACCCGCGATAGCCCCAGAACAGAAACCGACAACGGACCATTTGCGTTCAAGACGGTAATCCCAGAGCATCCAAGTCAAACCACCAACGCTTGCCGCAAGGTTGGTAACAATACACGCCTGGGTTGCACGCAAGTTTGCGGAGAGGGCAGAGCCGCCGTTGAAGCCGAACCAACCGAACCATAGGAATACCGTGCCCAGAATGACATAAGTTGTGTTATGAGGCTTGTAGGCGAGACGCTCGGTGCCATATCCGCGACGTTTGCCAAGGTAGAGTGAGATGGCAAGTGCGGCAGTACCAGAGGAGATGTGCACTGGGGTACCTCCAGCGAAGTCAAGACCACCAAGGACGTACGACCAGCCTTGGGAGTTCCATGTCCAACAGGCGATGGGATCATAAACGAGTGTAGACCAAATAAAAACGAAAGCCAGGAGAGGACCCAAGCGGCTGCGTTCTGCAACAGCACCAAGGGCGATCATAGGACTGGAGTGACATGAGTGTTCTGAATAAGAGATAATACTAATCATGACGTACGTGATGGCAGCGAACATAAGCTGGAAGACGCAGAATACGATGGCTGGTACTCTTTCACTACCGATGGAAGGTTGGTCTAGTACATTTCGCAAGGCGAAGTATTCTGACGAATAGCGGTCAAAAATGGAGACTTTGAATTGTGAGGGAAAGCATACTGAGGTTGCCAATGTAGGGGCTGGCAGTTTCGCTGAAAGCTAGAGAATAGCCCCAGAAGAACCACTACAATGTGGATGAGCACATAAGAGGGTAGTTAAAACCTCATAAATGTGACGGACCTGGAAGGAGACCATAGCAACGGTCATCATACTGAGATAGATCATATTGAGAGCATTTTTCCTCCTGAGTAAACCGGAGTAGAAGAAGCCAACCCCAGGTATCATGATCCATACTAAGGCGGTTGATGCCAATGTCCAGGCAATATCACCCAAGTTGAATATGGTTCCAGTAGACGAATAGAGGTCGCCAGCTGGACAGCGCTGCGTTGAGTATGTTTTAGGAGAATGACGTAGGGGACTCACAAGCATCGTAGGTAACGTTCACCATTTTGCCCTTATACGCGTTGACGATGAGATGAGGGCTGGGGCGAATTAATGTTCCTGCAAATAAAGGATAACGTACGGTCCTTGGAAAAGGGAGCCCAGGTGTGGGTAGATATACGAATATCTGTGGGACCTGACGTCGGACTAGTTGCCGTGCGTGAATTCATGCTACCGCCCGCTGTCTTAAGTACTTGGCAAGAGATAACGAGAAATGATGAATAAGCTGTACTTTCGGTTATCATCCAATGAACGACGACTACTTAGTACGGCATCCACCATCTGCGCGGAGTCTGAATTCAGGCGGCGGCAGTCAGATTACACCTGACGGCGGCATCCACCTTCCCCTCACCTTCCTTTTCAATGTTTTTTTTTTCAAAGAGCGGTCTGCAGGGCGCACGATAAGCTCGCTGTTCCTACATTCGTCTCGATCATGACACTAACTAGTAGTACTAGTACACGTGATATCCTTAAATTAATACTCCGAAGTACCTCTCATTATTTTCATAAAACTCTTAAATTAAAAGAATGACACCGCCGCCGGGCCAACATTTGTTTTTTCTCGTCACTCCGTTTCCCATCATACCAAATAATAATTAACTCACCAAACCTGAGCTCGGCCTGATTGACATATGGCACCCCGTGCGTCGTACAACATACCATCTCAACACTAACGTGAGCTCTTTCTAGAAAAAGATCACTTCGCTTCCCATCATGGGCCCGAGTTTGGCTACTGATTCCCCGCCTTTCTTCGATGCTGACCCTTGCTTATATTTACGTACATGCAACTCCTTCAACTCGAACTAGTACTACTCACCTATTAGGAACAAAGTGTTGTTGTCATGACACGATCAGAAAACATTGTGACATCCTCACCCGCATGAGAATCGTTGTCACCGTTTCGTGAGAGCTGAACTGGCAACTTGACAAGCTTGAAGTCTTGGTGGAGAGGTAGAGGACGATTGACCGCGGATGTACTAGGTATGTGTACCTGACGGAACCTCTAGTACTAGCCTAGTGCTTGTTCGGAATTCCCCTTCATATATGAATCCGTCACTTGCTGTACATTTGCAGTGTCATTTGTATTGGCTTGTAGGCTATGCAGGGCTGTGTTGACGTTTCATCCCGTCACATCTTACAGTCAGTCGCGGGAGAAGCAGTAAAAAGGTCAAATGGGTGCAATGGTCCCTCTCGGAAGGGCAAGTTTCCATACTCATCTCCGGCGGAACCTATTCGTTCCGCATCCAAACGTACCAGAGCATGTGGAGAACGGCCCCCATCCTACAATAATACGCGTAGTAAGTAAGCAAAATATTACAAAGAGTACTGCGCGCTGACGGCCTCATCGTAGTCACGCTCTATGCCGACCGTCGACCGTCTGGAACATCTAACACATCTGCTCACACAACCGAAGTTTGTCCGAAGCAGGCGTCAAAGATATCTATACGACATCAAAAATTCAGCATCACCCGACTGAGCATCGCTCTATAAATCATGTTATATGCTGCTAAAAGGCGTGGCTTAATCTCGCTTTGAGTCACCTACGTGGCCCGTCCTCGTGACGTTGTTATTTTTGTTCTGTGACTGAGCCTAGTAAATGCGCGTCCCCGAGGATCCCTACTTCGAGCAATGTGCGTGGCCTGCATCCTCACAAGTATACTACCCCTCATCCCAATGAAAGCCCTCGGACATTCTATCTTTGGAACTGGGATACCGATCATTGAACGGGTTCAATGAAGATACTGTACGGTTGCTGAAACTACGTGTAGCCCGCCCAGTGAATGGGCTGCACGGTGGGGGCGACAATCAGAGCCTGGCCAATAGGCCACGTCGACGCAAGGCCCGAAAACGACACGGCTAACTCGATTATCAGGCCTTCATCCCCGGATGGGGAATGCATTGACATACATGGACACGCAGCTATGCGATGTAGATGTGCTGAATACCGCTAGCACGGTATAAATAGAACGTGAACTTGAGCACATCCGGAAAAAATAAGGAGCCTGACATATCAGGAACAAACGTTTGTAGTCCAATTGCCTAGGGGACTTTTAAGATAAGTTTGGAACACCCGAATTCTCCCTTGTATTCCACCTGTATTTGAAGAAGTGGTGCCAGCGAGCCCTGAACCTGAGATCAGTTGGATTTGACGTGCCACATGATGGCTTTGCCTGCAATAAGCACAAGAGAGCCACAGAGCTTGTGTGAGCCACCGATTTCCTACGGCCTTTCACCTTCTCTCCACCCCAGCGACGGTGGGGAGCTGACTACTTCATCTCCCGAGACTCTCTCATCGCACTCGCCGTCTGCATGATTCCCATGCCGTGTATACTCCAACGTGATGCCAGATGATATCAGGGTATGGCCGTCTGAGAGTCATGGACACGATCGACAGCATGCAAGTTGTGAAATGCCTAAAGCTAGGTGAAAAACGGAATATGAATAATTCGCCGGTCTCGGACAAGACTTCTGCGGCTGCCCGTCGGATGGGTACACCAGCGGAGTTATCATCGATATGACTTCGAGATCTCCGAGTGTTGATTTTGATATGCGGTGCTGTACGCCTTCGTGCACGAGCTGAAGTTCGCTGTTGGTGCGGAGCGGTTAATTTGAGAGACAAGTGAGTACTAGTGATCCGGTCAAGGGAAAATCTACACCGCGAAGTATTACCCTCGAAGTCGGAAAGTATGAATTCATGGATGGACGTGATCTATTACAATGCCTATCAAATGAGTTTCCCGACGATATCATGATAGGTGTTCGGAATGAAACCAGATAAGAGGCCTAGATATCGGATAGTTGCAATGGGTCAAATATCATGCAAAGTTTGAGATAAGATATCGCTGGCGTTGGGCGAGGAAGCGTTATTTATCTGGAACATTTTGCAGCGGATTCGTACCTTCCGCATCGTCGGCCGTAGACCCAATTCAAGTCCCAAGATTTGATGACTAGTATCCGAGTATTCTGCGGAGCGCTGAGCCTGCACATGGGTGAGTAAAAGAATCAAAATGATATTATCAAATCAACCCGGCCTTTGTTTGGCAATGTTTGATAAGAAATTTCAGTTTCATGTTTCTGCCGCAAAGCTGTGAATGATGCACCGTAGGATGGCCAGCCTCTTCTCCTTAAATTCCCGGCCACAGGCGCTCTTTCGATTAGCAAGCGCCGCCAATCGATCAGTGTGTCGCAGAAATTTTCATCTGACGACTGTAGGTGAGGTGCACGGCAGCAGAGCATTATCAAGTGCTTAACAAATTTTACGCAGTTCAACAGACCAGGGATGACGACCTCTTCTCGTCTGTGATTCCATCTGAAACTTCAGTACCTGATCCCTCCAAGTCTACTACCGCCTCAAAAGCTAAATTTCAGGACGCCGCTGCGCGTCGAGCACCACAGTTCTACGAACTCGTGGAGTACGTGATCAACCGCACGGGACGCAAACGTGCTGTCAAAGCCGGCCAAGTGCGCCAAACTGCATGGCTTCGGTTGTTCCAGCTCGCGAGCTCGTCAGAACAGCTGGAAATGGTGGCAGAGCTGTTTCCGAGGTGGAGAGACTCGGGCAAGGAGTTCCGCCCCATACACGCAGAGGCTTTCGTCCGTGAGTCCAGCGTCCTATCGCTGCCCCGTTCTCTGCTGATATAAACCAAGGTCGCTGTGAGGAGCTGAATTGCCCGACACTCGCACTCAAGGTTTTTGGAGACCATTCGAAATACGGTCTGGCTTTGAGCTCTCTCTTCGCCGCACGACATATGCTGCACTCTGTCTATGACAAGCGCCCGCTTTCGGATTCTATGACTGTCGCAGCTCTATTTGGTGTCTACAAACTCCCACCTGTTTCATCCGACCTGGCTGCTTGTTCCATGCTCTATGTCGCATGTCTCAAAGATAATTCGGCAAATGCACGTATCGTGGCCAAGGCGTTGTATGAAGAGCTCCACAAACAAGTCCAAGACAAACCTCCCGTCAAGGCTCCACAGGAAAGCGTGATTAGGGCAAGATACGCAGAGAAACCCAATATCTGGTTGTTGGACGCCCTCAAGACGATCGAGAAGGTACATAAAAAGACGGGAAAGGAGTGGAGGTGGATACGATACTGGACAACAGAACGTGAATGGCGCCCTCGCGATACTTTTACTCCCATACAACCTGCGACTGCCGCCGAGCACGCATAATCACAGCTCTTTTTATCACCAGTCGAATGTAATGGATTTCGTTTTATTGGTAGGCTTGAAGACCCACCGGATGGATGTCACTTCCTAACCCATTGATTCCGTCTGTTGAATTTGCGGTCGTTGTATGTTTGTTTCTCCATCTGAGTGATGATGCTGCAGTGCACATTGACAGGTAATGTACAGCACACACTCTCATGAGATTAACTCAGATAACCATTTGAATACCCCAACAGCTTTCAAATTGAATAACTTTACATAAACCTAGGCTTATTTAGCATGATGATGCAAGTTCAATAGCGCTTAAGGCGTCAGCGGCTCAAATCGGTCCGCAAAACACCCCTCATGACTATAATCGCAGCCCTCCTTATATAAACCCATCTCCAGACCCGAATACGCTCAATCTCCAGCTATGACAACGCACGCACTCCTCCAAGCATTCAAGGCCTCCAAGCCCGCATTCGGAGCATGGATCACCCTCCCAGGTATCCTGAACGCACGCGCAGTCGCACAAGCCAGCCCGTACCTCTCGTGGGTGATGATAGACTGCGAACACGGTCTCACATCGCTTCAGCCTGGCGCTGCAGAATCCATTCAGGCTATCACTGGTCTTGGACCCAACGCGCCGAGTCCGCTCGTGAGAATCCCAGCCACGGGTTTCAGCAATAGTACGTCGTGGCAGATTAAATACGCGCTTGATGCAGGCGCACGGGGTGTGCTTGTTCCTATGGTGAGTGGTTCTGGAAGAGTATGGAATGGGACGTTGTTAGACCCTCTGCCGGGCTGTAGGTCTCTAATGCTGAGAAGGCGAGGGAGATCGTGGCCGACAGTCGCTTCCCTCCGGGAGGCCGGCGCGGTTTCGGAAGTCCATTCACTCATGGCGTCTGGGGCATCGATGCCACCGAGTACATCAAATCTGCGAACGAACATGTAGTTGTTATGATACAAATCGAAACGCCGGAGGCCGTGAAAAATGTTGAGGCCATTGCTGCTGTAGATGGCATTGGTGAGTTGGGTATAAGTAATTGCGCACACCGCTAATATGATCTTTTAGATTGTTTATTCATTGGTCCTTACGATCTTTCCCTGTCCTTGGGATACCCTGCCCCCTCTCCTGATCCACACCCTGATGTGGAATCTGTCATCCAGCATGTTCTCAGAGCTACACACAAGGAAGGAAAGAAGTGGTAAGCATGTGTGCTGAATCTCCTGCTACTTAATTGCCACTGATCCATTGATGACCCAGCGCAATTTACTGCAGCTCAGGAAAGCAGGCCCTTCAGCGTGCTGAAGAAGGCTTCGACATAGTGAGATCACTTGACTGAAAATCCGTGTTTATAGCTCACTCTTTTTGCGTCGTGTAGATTAATGTCGCCTCTGATATTGGTGCAATGTCTGAGTCGGTGGCAGCAAACGCTATCGTTGCATTAGGCGGAGAAACTGGAGCCCCAGCATCCCGATACTGACAGTGGAGAAAATTGAAGTAGTTTTCGACAATAAATGTACAAGTCGATAAAATCAGAAATCATTGATTCCTTCACATGGGTAGCGACTGATCGTTTCCTTGGTAGTCATAATCGAAGACTAAGAACGCCGGCCCAGCAACTGTAGCATCGTCGGACACGCTCTCCCTGTTGTTCGTGATTACCGAAGAACACAAAACCCTGCAGCGTGTCCGGGATGGTGACCGTCATATCAGCGTTGAGAGGTACAACGAGCGCTTTGAACCCTGAGATGAACCAGGCGTACAACGTCTGTGAATCGCGGTCCGGAGCTGCGGGCGAAAACGACACTTGTACAGTCTGCCCTGGGATAACGTAGGAGGGAAACGTGAGTGAGGGGAATACTTTGATCGGCGGCAGCGAATTGGAGGATGGGCAGGATACGATGAAGCCACTCATCATCGTGTATAGTTGACTCAGACTCAGTGGCGCCTGTTGATTGTTGGTCTCAAAATGTATGTTAGAGATAAGATGCCACGTACATCAAATGCTGTGCTCCAAGCAGCACCTTCACGCATGTCCGCGTTGATCCACGCTGAGTGTTTTGCTTCCACGGAGTGAATAGAGCTGATAGAAATGACATAGTCCTAAAATGCTTTTGAGTTGGATCTCAATACAGAGCGATAGAAATCGAAGTACAGGATCGGAGAGATACTTCGCGAGAGTTGTATACGTAGAGGATGTTATTGCTTCCACAATGTTGCTGGTCTTCACGAATGATCTCGGATCGGAGTCTGGGCTGACGGAGGGTTCATTCAGGCCACACGTGAAAGAAGGACAAGAAACGAGCTGACAAGTTATATGTGCATGGCTGAACAGCATTGTCACCCAGGATATTCTCAAGGAACTGAGCATGCGTAAGCTCATGGGAGGATATCTGTGCGTATCTCCCCTGCGACCAGGGCGGTAGACCAGCATTGGAGAAGTCCTGCGGCTCATATTGGTACAGCCGTTTGTAGAAGTAGTACTGGAGGTGTTCGAGGGAGAGAGCAAAATTTAGAGCTTGGATCTCTGTTGTAGTATTCGTCAGTTTAAAGCTTCGAGAAATGAAATTAACATCACCCGTCAGTGCGCTATCGCCGTCACGCCGCTCTGAGGGAAGGGAGAGAACGGAAGAGGAAAGGATGACAAGGGCGAGAAACGTCAATATGGCCCTCATCGTGAAACGTTAATAATACAAGGGTATACAGTATGGTTATGCTGAAAAAATGTGGGTATCGTCCAAAGAAGAAGAGAGAAGCGGCTCACAAAGAATACTTTATATGTGTACTAGCAGGCATGTCAGCCCATGTCAGCCTCTTGGCTATAATCCATGACGGCGAATTTTGGATCAAGCCGATTCATTGTCAGCCTCCAAATGCAATCAAATCTGTGGGTTGATACAATCGCAAGGAAGTTGGAAGATGACACTATGTGTCTGGAGAGTAAAAGGTAAGAGGGTAACATGATACATTGCCATCAACTGGTTCCGAACCTACTCGGAGTCAGTCAAAGCATGCACGTCAGTGCCAAGTCAGTGAGGCGCAGATACTGGCATATATGCCGATATATGATCCGTTTTCGTTATATTGAAACATAAAGTCATATAAAGCCATGCGTAATGCATAACGTCGGAAAACCACCGCAATCAACGTAAAGCACCCTGCAGGGGGAGACTTACGAGTTCTCTGATCAGGTGATGGCCGATACGCCGACAATGAAGGAACGTTCATCTTCCTTCTATGATATTATCAAGCTGGTCTGCGGCTGCCTACACCTGAGGCCTGAGACGTTGCTAGATTGGCTGGAGGACAATATACGGAACACAGTATTTGTAGAATATTTCACATCTAGATTGCAATTGTGCATGACGCACAGAACGCTCTAGCGAAAAGAAACAACATGTGTCCGTACATACAAGTACTACGGGGAATGTTCTGGCGAGTAGATATACTTAAAATTTCCATCGATACACTAGATACGAACCAAAAAGAAAAGAAAAAATTCGATACAGCAACAAAACTACAAAGAGGACTTTAGAGTTCGTCCTCGCCATCAGAGTTGAAGTGGAAACTCAAAAAGGCGGGTCCAGCAATCGTCACGTTGTCAGTCACTGCCGTACTACTGGAAGTGATTATAGGGAACACGACACCCAGTAAAGTCGACGGAATCTCAACTGTATTGTCAGAGCTCAGTGGCACAAATGTAGCGCCGAGGCCAGCAATGAACGCAACATAAAGTTGTGGAGGTACCGACGGTGCCGTTGTTGCGTTGAAAGAAACTTGGACAGTCTGGCCTGGCTGAGCACCGGCAGGGAAAGATAATGCGGGGAACGCTTTCACAGGCAGTGGCATGTTAGAGGAAGGGCATGACACGATGACGCCTGATGCGAGTGTCCATACGTGATTGAGGGAAAGTGGGGTCTAAACGAACGTGAGTAGCGATCTTAAGCGACAAGCATGGTGACATACGTCAAACGCAGTGTTCCACGGGTTAGCTTTCAAAACCGCCGAATTGATCCATGCCGATTGTCTTGCTTCAACAGCTAGGATAGCACCCGAGGATGTAATGTAATCCTGAGAGCATGATGAAATAAACACACGATTACGATCAAACCGAAAGGTTGGTCCATAACTTACCGACTGGGACAGGAACTGTGCCGCACCAGAATATGCTGAAACGCCGACCGTCTCCAACATGAAACTAGTTGTTACGAAAGAAATTGGGTCCGTGTCAGGGCTAACGCGACCCACAGCCCATTCAGTGCCGTATAAATTATTTTCATGAAATCTCTACTCACAAACTGTAGGTGCATGGCTGTACCGCCTGCTCACCAATTACGCCCTCGAGGAACGACACGTGTGTCGACTCGTGTTGTGCAATTTCGTTCCATCGTCCACGCGCCCAGGTGGGCAGGTCTGCATCGAGGAAGTCCTGCTGGGTATACTTCTGCAAGCCTTGAGTGTAAAAGGCATTTTCGAGATGTTCAAGTGTGAGTGCGAAATTCAGAATCTGAATGTCTAATGACACGATGAGATCATTGAGTCAGATGGGGTAAGCAATCAACTCACCTGTTGGGATACTGGTATCATCACGTTTGGCAGGTACAGCCACGCAGAGGTCATGGAGGGCGGCAACAACTAAAAGAGTGACAGAAGCTGGAGTGACTTTCATACTGCTGGAACTTTTGGTGGGGTGCAAAAAATGAGAATGGGGGTTAGGGTCTAGTAGATGCCAGCTTTATACCCTCATGCGGGGGCTAAACCGAACAATTGTATAACGTCATTGAAATGAACTTCGCGATGCCAGCATCGCCTGCGAATCTTTCGGGTGACATTCTGGTCGAACGTTGGGTCCGGCGCTCAACAGGATGATATTTGAAATACCATTATAATTACTTTGTCCCCTTATGGTCGTTGCTTATCGATTATCATTGGATCAGTATATACCCAAGCTACCATTGTCAGCGCCGTCCTCCACGACCAGTCTTACTGTCTAGTAGGAACAAGCTTGATCACTTTTGTTCACGAGCTGACTCATCCGTCCTTTCACCCTGGACTCATCTGTGATACTGTGCGCAAAGGCTATCTGTTCGAACAGACTTGGTAGAAAAACCACGCGCACTATAGAAGTATCTGGTCGGCATGGAAATGTTTTTGGGATGTTCCATGCCCCAAACGTTGGCACTTGACGCGAATCGTTGCAGCGCGGTGCCGGCACTAGTAGCGCCGTTACGGCGTAAGGTCGGATATGTGCCTAGCCACTTTACTAGTAGAAGTTGCGGAAGTCCCAGAACGAACTGGTGAGTGGTCCAAAACTTCCTCGGGGATAGATAGTCGACCTGGGCATCCGAGAGTCTACCAGCGAAGAGAGACGGGTAATTATGTGCATACTTGCTGGCCTAGTAGGATTCCTTGGGGCCAGTTTTGCCGCTCACAAACAGAACTGGCAAAACTTTGGGTGCAGTCTGCGCAGAGTATTTCGATCCCAGAATATCCGACCTCGACACCTTGTTCACGGAATCACGAAGGAATAAAAGTATAGCCGCATATCACGACAAGGTTTAACGACATATAATTGGCCGTGAGCATAAACATCGAGAACGATACTTGAGAAAGTGATCAGGATGGCCATTTCCTTAACTCGTCCCCCCACTTCCACCTCCGTGTAAGCGATAGAGATAGACCTTGATCACATCAATACCTTCATCAAAACCGACAGCCAGCTCATTCGCATCTCGGCGCAGCAAGACGCACCATGCGCGCTCGAGTACATAGCTGAGGGTGTTCTCAGGTATTGCCATTCCATATCTTTACGGTACCATCCTCACTGCTGCTGCTGATGGGCACGTTGGGGTAGAATCCAGTAAAGCTTGGGTCGTTCGTATGTCCTTCCATCGTTTGCACGCAGCTTTTGCCAAGGTAGTTTCAAATCTTGATAGTCCGGTCATCACCTGGCGTGACGAGTTACTATCCGAGGCAGGGTAAAAGTCAACGTAGTTGGCGCCCTTGTCATGTGTGTCCATAGTGAAGTTAGTTGTAGGGAAGGCCACAAGGGACGGGACCGCATCTTGACAGTTCGGTCACGTGAGTTAAAGCCGTCGAATCCGTAAGCACGCGTTTACGCTGCAAATCGTCCTAAGACACGAAGAGAACCACATCTGAGTGTGACAAAGGGAAGCATCTTGCCTTTATAGACAAAGATTAGCATATACCACTCACGAGCTGGTGGTATTCTGAGAGCGATACGTCTGTGGCGGAAGGACAGAATGTGGCTATCATTCTGACTTCTCCTAAAGATAGAACCAGGTCTTGGACATACATATCAATCAAATTGTGATCTTCAGGAGTTATCAGTGCCGCTCACCTTAGGACAGCCTTCTGCTACTACACAACCCTCAATCACAACCCGCAATAGAAGACCATCTGGTCAGAGATGAAGCGGAAGGGTTATGAGGGGTCTCATTCTCACGTCCTAATGGAATCTGCCTACGAGGAGAGCTGTTTGAGTCCATATATTTGATAATGACAAAGTTTGCACAGCGTAGTTATAGGCGCCTCGAGGCTTGCTTGTATCACATGTTGGAGGTCGTGTTGCAGTTAATTTCGTCATTCAAACCACTGAGGGGTCTGTGCGTTTGTTCTGTATTTTATCTTCCCGTAGACAGAGAAATGGTTGCGTGCTCGGGCTAGCGAGAGCCTGAGCAATATTGTTGGTACTTGCTCAATGTCAGTGGGGCGCCAGAGTGATGAAATGGGAAAAACTCACCTGGCCACGCTCCTAAATATTTAATGTTAAAATATTCGCAATTGGTCAATTCCAGTTAACTGGCTGGCGGTTTGTTTCGCCAAAAACGCCGCTCATGAATGTGTATCAGAAATGAAACATGCATGTCTGCTTGATACTTGGCACGAGGAACGTTGACCGGTTCGTGCGCAGAGGATGGATAAATTAGGTAATTATTACATAAGCGTTGAAGTGGGATGTGGGATGCGGCTAGAAGGGATTGACGATAATTTACTTGACCGCCGTTAGCAGCGATGGCCCCGACTCAACCCTTCTCCTCTCCACATGTACACCCGCCATATCCTTCTCTCTACCTCTATCCTCTAAACGACACTTTTATCCCAAAACATATCTCCCTTCACAATGGCCAGCGCGTAAAGATCGGGCGCCAGACAAACACAAAGACAATCCCAGGAGAGAGAAACGGTTATTTCGACTCAAAAGTACTAAGCAGACAACATGCAGAGATTTGGGAGGACAGTGGAAAGGTGTGTTTTGTTCCCTGTTTTCGAGGGGGAAGACTGACGGACGTGGCGGAAGATATACATCAAAGACGTGAAAAGTTCTAATGGCACGTTCATCAACGGCGAGCGACTCAGTCCAGAAGGAGCCGAATCCGAGCCATTTGAGCTCAAAAATGATGATATCGTGGTATGTTTTCCCTTACTTTTCCCCCGCCTGACCCACCCAACCTCTTCGCAGGAATTCGGTATCGACATCATTGGTGAAGACAACAAGACCACAATCCACCACAAAGTCGCTGCACGCGTCATGTGCGTATTCACAGACGAAGATGCGCACCTCGCTGCCCGCGTAGAGGCCATCCCATCATCCACCTCTCTTCCTCCCAATATCCCCTCCGTCCTTCCTCCCGCCACTTCATCATCTGGAAGTGGTAATAACTTCAGCTTTGCACATCCACAGCGCCGCCCTGCCTTACAGAGCCAGCTCGGCGGTATGGGCGGCAGTATGCGTCCACCGGGAAAAAATGGCCTAACCTTTGACCACATATTAAGTAGGCTTCAGGGTGAACTCCAGAAGAGTCGCGAGACCGGTACAGAACTGCACTCCCTAAGCACTGTGATGAATGATATTCACGACACGCTCGGTGGCTCGGTGGTCCGTCCTTCATTATTCTCTACATCCATACATACTGACTATCTCCACTCCCACAGCCCCAAAACCTACCGCACTTCCCTCAATCACTCCCTCCCGTGCGCTCACAACAAACCTCTGCAAACTCTGCGCCCGCACCCACATCTGCCGCGCCCGCAAATCCAGAACCTCCTGCACCTCCCCCGGAGCACCCTGCCCTTTCCGAGCTGCGCACAGAGCTGCACGAGACCCAAGCCAGCCTCGCAAGCCATGTCGACAAGGTCCGCGCACTCGAGGACATGCTTGCAGAGCACGAGGCCATTAAGGCCGAGGTTGCAGCTCTCCGCGACCTCATCCATGCTTCATCCGCACGTTCCCAGCACGACAATGGTATGAACATAGACTCGGAGCGCGGTCGCCGTGGACAAGACGATGACGACGGATCTAGCATTCGTACAATCACCCCGCATGAGTTGGAGCGCGTCGAGGAAGAGGACGAGAGCGAAGAACAGGACGAGAGCGAGGAGGATAGGGAGCGTGCACAGAGGAGGGAGGAGCTGGGTAGGCCGCGGACGCCAGAACCATCGGGGATGGGAATGGACGAGGACGAGCTTATGCATGCCCGTGCATCGGACACTGAACCTTCGACATCACGACCACGACCACGATCTCCTTCACCACAGCCATCGCACCCTGCACTAGACGAGCTCTCAGCACGGCTAGTAGCTCTTAGCGGACGCATAGATAACGCTGTAGAAGTCAACCATTCCCTAGCGGCGCAACATGCTACCGCTCAGGGCACGATCACTGTGTTGCAGGACAAGATCACCGCGCTGGAGGCGCTGGTTGCAGACCAGCAGTTCGAGACGCAGATCGCTGCAGCTGTGGAGGCCCAACTCGCCAAGGCCGTAGAAAGCGCGGTAGAGGCCCAGCTTCGCGCACAGAAACAGCAGCAACCGGATCCTGCGGAAGGGTTGACTGCGTTGATGGCAGAGTGGAAGAAGGGTGTAGATGGGCAATGGAGCGCAGCGCAAGAAGAATGGGGGGTAGAGCGTGAACGGCTACGCCGGGCCTTTGAGGGGCTAGAAAACGGATTAGACGCACGGGTATCGACTGTCGTTGCCTCGCACGTACAAGCGCAAACGCATGCAAGACTTCAAAACGGTGATCTCAAGCTGCATACCGCGAACGGGACGAACCCTTCAGGTGGAGGACTGGTGACGCCTCCAAGTCCTGTGAGCGTTGCTTCTAATCCTGGTCGGGGGAAAGCGCGAAGACGAAGACGTTCGAGGTCTCCAGTCTGTATCTTCCATCGAGTTGGATGATGATGCGCACAAGGATGGAAATGGGATTTTGAACAGCGATGCAGGTCGATCACGATCTCCTTCACCTGGACCGTCGATTGTGGGAAGCGAGCCTGAAGGTAGAGGGCGAGTTGGAGAAGCACGAGGGCGTACAACCTCTCACTCCAGAATCATCTGTCACCGATGCCGGGGGTACGGATACTGTGGGACAGAAAGTGCACCTACAAATGCAGACGCAGACGGAGGTGACGCAGCGGGTGAGTATTTTTCCACGTGCATATAACCACTGGTACTAACGCCTCGAGCGTAGCTGCATTCGGCATCAACAACGATAACAGCTGCCATTGGCGTCCTCGTCCTGAGTGTCGCGGCCGCTGCCGTGATATATCGCATGAAACCAGAATAAGCAAGTATTGAGGGGGTGAGGAGTGCGTATTTTCTATTCCCACTCCCGTTTCCCTATGTGCTATTTGCAATGGATCAAACGTATCGAGTATCAGGTATTTACGGTGTGGAATGTGCATGCATTGGACGGTTCGGGTGTCTCGTCTATCTGTCTGTCTGTCCCTCGCTCTCTTTGACGCAACGCATTCATTTTTCAACTTTATACTTCCATATCCTTCGCTATAGCATATCACCCCACCCAACCCAACCCCATACCACCCGTTCATGCACGCATCCACGCATCGCATCGCATTACAATTATTTTATACTTTTTTTTCTTTCTCTCTCCTCTGTCACGCTCGCGTCAAATTGTTGATCTGCGTTTCTTGTCGTTGTTTATGCGTTCTTTTTACTTGAGTATATACGTATTTTATGCAGGTGTGCCTTTCTGTGTGCTTTCGGTTTTAATGACAGTCATGACTTTTTTGTTTGGGGTATGAGGTGATTGATGGGAGCTCGAGGTGAGTTTTATTGCGATGACGGACGCCCCAACTTGCAGAGATCTGTAGAAGGAACGATTGTTTTCGTTCGTTCATAATCTAGAGGACACTGACTCGATTTGTTTTAAAGTAGCACATCATCGCAAATTACCCTTCAGCGTGTCGCCGTCACATCGTATCTCAAGGTAGCTACCGTAGTCTCCGGTCGTTGGATCTACGAGACCTGCCACTCTCACTCCTCATGAACAGCTCTCAGCTTCAGCCGACAGGCTAGCCTCCTTCAATTTCTCTTACACCGATTTGTGTTAGACTGACTGGTCAATGATCGAGGGTGAATTGCGGGTTCCAGTCTCAATGCTGAGTCGGCGTTTATGGGTAGATAGCAGGGCGCCTGAACACATCGGACGCATAACTAGAGAAATGACAAAACTTGCTCGCGGTACCACTGGCAAAAGAGTATTGAAACCAAGCGTGCACTTCAAAAATTTGATGCGATCACAGTCATCTTGCTACTCTGAACGTGGTCTCGTGGCTAGGGAGACTGAAACGTCGAACATCGATAGAAGCACTAGCTGAACCAAGACACCATGGATCAACACCGTGATGCCGGAGCAAAAAAGACTATTGAAGTAAGAAGTCTTTGTAGACCAGGCACACCGGAATCTAGGTCGAAGATTCGAAATACCGAAGCAATACCTGAAATCGCACAATCAGTGTCAGTCATACGCAAGAGAAAGTCGTGACACTGACATCTACCGCTGCAGACCCGTACAAGTTATTTTGTGGTGATTAAAGACGTCTCTGCGCGAGAATGCCTTGGGGCAGGTGTCGCAAGAAAATTTAATCATCAGATGTGTTTGCACATGTCGCACGAGGTACGTCTTCATCAGCTCCTTGTTGCAGTGATTCCACAAGCAAATTACGCGCGTGATACCCGCAGCCCAAACGCCGTGAAACTCAAGGAGGTGACGAGAAATTTGATGGCCGAAAATTATGTGGTTGCAGTCCCCCCACAGACACTGGAACGCCTCATCAACAGACTGGCACCGTGATCAACGTCGGATAAGCAACTCAAAAGGCAAAATCACGCACTGAGAACTCCTGAAAGCAAAACACTGTTAAGTGTTCAGCTTAAGATTACAGTTTCATATTGACATACTGTTTGCTGGACATGAAAATTGCGAATAAGGTCCGTCCCTGCGTCAGTTGTGCAATCGAAGTCAATGTTAGACGAACGAGCACTAGTGCACCGGTTTTCACGGGAAGATACACGAGAAATCTGAAACCTTCGTCCGCACTTTCGACTGCCTGTTGTTAGACGTGGTCAGGACCTAGAAGACTTGAAACATACTCACCAATCAATCGAGGAGCCAGCCTGCTGTTCAAGCGAATATACGATAGACCCAACGCCAAGGGGATTCACCGTCCCACAAGAACATCTGTAGGAAACTCCAGAGGATGATGTCGTCCACTGTTGAATGATGACCCTCATAACAACTTTCGTGCCCACTTCAAGTCTTGACCATTCATCATTTGTAAGTCGGATTACTTGCATGCCTTCGTCAATACACAAATCGTACTGTCCGCTCTCCATATACTGTCTCTGGATTTGAGCTTCAATCGAGTTGCGTTTAAAAAGAACTTTGAGCATATCATTGAATTGCTGAAGAGAACTTAATGAGTATGCTTTTGCAAGATAGATTTTTGCTGGTGAATACCGTACCTCAAATGAGGTGCAGAAGTCCACTGGTATTGGATATTGGTGACCTGTTGCATCTATTAATGTCACACAGCCACGTGTGGCAGTTCCGATTAATTGCGTGGCAGTCGGTCCTACAGAGAACTGTGCGCGGGCGACCAGGCTTTCGATCGTCATCAGGAATTTCTGACGATCCTCCTGCTCCCTCTGTAGAATCACAAACATTTCGTGTACTTCACGTCGACTTTGCATTTGGGACGACCACTAACCAAACAGAATAGTGAGTGAATGCGAGCATTCGTTAAAGAATAGAACACAACCAAATACTCCGCCAGATAGCGGTCGATTTCTACAAAACATCCGGCAATATCTTGTGTGACATTTTTAAACGCCAGACAACGCCCACGCAATGTTGTTACTCGGACTGAGGTGTCTTGCAGCATTCTGGGTGCAACTCGATGTCAGGTGAACCCGAGCATACAACGATAACGTGAATACCTAACAAAGGAATCTCTTCTGGACTGTTCAGCAGGATCCGAGGAAGGCGAGGCATTGCACAATTCGCGGCTCAGTCGATCGAGTCGTAAAATCAGGCTATTGAGGTCCGACTGATTTTGGCTATGTCTCTGCAGCAACGTTTGAAATCAAGAAACTTCCTCGCATTTATACAAGCTCTCACATCTATAGCCTGAAGGCCTGCCAATAATCCACCGATAGCCGCTTGCATTGGAGCACCGACAAGTGGAATGGCACTTGCAATATCCTGTATCAAGGGCAATGCCAGCTGAGCCATGTCGGAAGCTTCGCGGGTAAGGGATACACCCCTAGGGTATCTAGCGAATGGAACATTGGTGGATTCGAGACTTGAGTCTCTGCTGCTTTCAGAGTGTACTACCGGTGAAGGAAAAGAAAAGGCGCCAGTGATTTGTGCACGGATGGAGCCATCTCCATCATGTTCGGTAGTTGTCGAGTTGTGTTGTCCAAGTCCGTTCTTTTTAGGGCGCCTCGAACGAACTGCCAGAACCTTGCTCAAATCCTTAAAACGCTGCGGAGGGGCATTTTGATCAGATGTGTCAGAGGATACGGGAATACAGGTCATCAGTAAACCGGTGAGTTCTTGCTGGGGATTATGCTGATTATGGTGCTTTTACATGGTCATATATTGCTTTATATCACTTTATATTACAATGTGACGAAAACCTTTCCTATATATTACGATATATAACGATATATGACGATATCTTCTTCTCACAGGTTCTCTGATGGTAGAACGGTACCAAATTTATGACGTCAGACAGCTGTGCACAACACAGCATGATGCAGCATGCCTCGTGTATGCACTTATCCAGCAGATACCACTAGCTCTCCACGGCTTCACCACTCAACCTACTGTGCAGCAGCAGCTAGAGTGTGAGTTTGTGTTGCAATGGGCAGCGATTGTCGTTGATGTGCGTTCTGGTACTAAGTTGCGTTCCATCTAACTTCTAAGTAATGGAAGAGACAGGAAACATGCGAGCAGCCAAAAACATGTGAGAGCTCAACGTGTAGTGAGATGTTATGCAATAGACAATTGTCAATAATTGCAAGGTGCAAAAGATGATAGCATAATGGGCAGCCGAACAGTAATACTAGTAATCAGCAGCGGTTGATGAATTTGGTATCGATGGTTTCTATTAGCGCTTGAGGTGTTCAGCCCATATATAGCGCTATATTACAGCTATTTGCAAAATGATTGACAGTACGAGCAAATTCGAGTTGCCTTGAACGAAGAAATGATGCGGTAGAGCACAGCCACTGGCATTCCCGTGAAGTTCTACTACTATCATACTTGTAAATGGCACAAGTCGGGCATACTTGGACGTCAAAACTTGCTGGTGCTGTGGAGGAACGATACACGCGGGAGGTTTTACGACACGCTAGAACAAAGGTACGAGTCTCAGTATTCGTTTCGAATCTCTATTAACAATTGTTTGTACCTAGAACAAAGGTACGACTAGACATCAGTGAATTGGTGAGGAAAGTAGAAGGCGATATATCGCAATATATAGTACATAATCAGAACAATCAACATAATTCTGTTATCGAGCATCACATTATCATATTTGCTCTTGTATAGGAAAGGAGTTTTACATGATTTCACTATAAAACTTCAAGATCAGGAAGAGGTCGCATCATCGCTCAAACTGAAAGTCAAAGGGAAGGTGGAACAACAGCTACTGGTTGATCTACATGAATCAAAATTGATTTTAACACCACTTTGATACCAAATTCAAATGTAAACACGAATGCCATATCCTCTCAACTACGAGATATTCATTCGAGCGCGTGACCACCAAAAAATCCTTTATGGCTTCGACTTTGAAGGGAAGGTGGAACAACAGCTACCGGTTGTTCTACATGAATCAAGATTGGTTTTAACACCGCTTTGATACCAAATTTACATGTAAACACGAATGCCCATATCCTCTCAAACTACGAGATATTCACTCGAGCGCGTGACCACAAAAAATTCCTTCATGCTTCGACTTTGAACGCATCAAATATGACGTTTGCGATGTTTGTCAGCAATGTATCAATTTGGAATGCGTGTGAATAAGCTATACCTTTTCGTGGCAGCCCGACAAGCGGCCAATAATCAATTTGTATCATGCCTCAAGTCTCAAGGCGACCTTCTTTGTGTAGCTAATGGTTGACGATAGTATACTGCTTGCGACTGCGTCCCGGGAAGTTAGATTTGCTCAGAACAGTGAAACGTGTCTATCAAGTGCGTGAGAACCAACATAAGTCTTGCTTTGAGTTCGTATACGACGTTCTACTTTTATCTAATGACTAGCAGATGCAATGTACTTGCAAAAACCAACAATGTGTTTACTGAGTGAGCAAAAGCACAAGTATGTACTACTTTGAATTTTGACGCTATCTGCTCTAGATTTCCAAAATGGCTAACAATAGCACACCGCTTGCGACTGCGTCCCGAGAAGTTAGATTTCCTCAGAACAGCGGAACGTGTCTATCAAGTGCGTGAGAACTAACATAGGTCTTGCTTTGAGCTCGTACACGACGTTCTACTTTTATCTGATGACTAACAGATGCCACTGTACTTGTGAAAACCAATGGTGTGTTTACTGAGTGAGCGAAAGCATAAATATGTGCTACTTTGAATTTTGACGCTATCTGCTCTAGATTTCCTAGGATGGTTCGTTGAATGTCAACTTTCAAGAATTTATCGGTGGGAGTTTGAATTGAATATTTCTTTCAATTGCGCTCATCTCACAGTCTGTGCTTTTTATTCTAAGATTGACATGAAGAATAGAAATACAGATATCTTCATGATTGCGCTATATTTTTTGGATCCAGCCCATTAAAGTCAGGTAGCCGGATCTGCAGGGTAAGCTCGAACCTTATATATTTCACCATACATCATCGCCCTGCGCGTCTTTTCGCGCTTGAGGAGGATATCTTTACACGTGTATTTTGGAGCAATGTTATATATTCTGCCATGCATCAGCGCTCTGCATTTCTTTTCGCCCTTTAGGAAGAAATCTTCACGCTTGTATTTGGGACCTCGGTGATTCAGCCCCCCCAATGCAATGCCACTGTTACTATTTGGTAAAGGGGTATCTCTATTCTACCTTCTCATGTATTATTCATTAGGGTATTCAATTCCACATCAGAAACACAGGTAGGCGAATCTAGAAACAGAGCTTCAATGAGTTGGGCCCTAGAGATCATTCTAATTATTCAGTTGCGCACAATATTAGATTCATCATTAAACCATCGCATTAATTGGCAAACAATAGATATAATACAGAACACAGTAATATCTAGGGTGAATCAAACGCAGCGTCATCGCGTTGTGCTCTCTGCCTTGCGAGAGCATTGACAGACATATTGGCCTTCATCACGTCGCTAAGTTCGCCTCGGCGATTCCTCCCAAATACTTTTCTGAAAACGAAATTCTAGCAAGGCTTGGTTTGGAGGGAAAGTTACGCACCTAGTCCACCATTCGAGAAGTTTCTCCACCCTGTGCTGTGCTTCTCGACCAGGGGCCCTTTCGAAAAAGTCAACGATGGTCCGCCAAAATTGTTGGTAGTCGAAGTCGCCATCCATGGACCGCCAAGAGGTAATTGAAGAAAGTGCGAATCGCACCTGCGAGTATATAGTGAAGATACATCATAAAATAGACTGAACAATACGACTTACTTGACATGTGATATATGCGAGCGAGCGAGGAGTGACTTTCTCCAAATGGATGATCTGTGCTACGTGTTTTTTGACCTTGATTCCAGATAACGACTTCTTAGCCCGTCGGTTGTTGCTGATGACATCCGTGCCGTCGCCGTCGCCTTCGACGTCTTTTGCTGAGGAAGGAGACGTGAACACAGCCTTGTAGGCCTGAAACACTAGTCAGTTTGCTGTCAGGCTGCTCCGGTGCGACTAACCTGAATGAGAATCTTGCCCTTGAAAAGGCCCTCCTCAAGATCGTCGGGATTGGAAGTGTACTTATCATACAAGTAAGTGGGAAATGATAGATCTGTGACGATATACCCATCTGAGCGATTTCGGATTCCTGCCCTTACTCTGGTGAACTGTGAGCGTTGTCTCTCAGGATACCGAAGCCACTACTTACTCTGGGTTATTCCAGTCAAGCTCTGCCGGACAGAGTAACCTGCCACACACGTCATGGGTGAATCCACGGGAATGCTTATCGTCGTGGTCAACGGGGGAATCCGGTTTAAATTCACGATTGATCCATTCTGAAACGAGAGTCTTCAGTTTCGAGGTGTCATCTCCTCGAGCGCCATCAGCCCCCTGTCGAAGCTAGAGAAAGACTCAGCCGTGACACAACCATTAATATCATTAAACCAACCATCTTTAACATGTGCGTGTACTCCTCGTACTCCATCTCTGAACCCTTCTTGTAGAACCACGGCAGCGTTTTGGCTAGGGTAGTATAACCTATTTGAAGTCGATCTTGTCTACGTAACCACGTTAATGAGTAATATACCCGATCCAAGAGCGAAATACTTACTCGATGGTAGTCTCCTGGTCTTCGATCTCATATCTTCTGTCGTTTTCGGTGACGAGGTCCTCGATACTATCAAAAAGGGCGACAACACGCCTGATTGCTCTTCCTTTAGCAACATACCAGATTGTTTGCCTAATAGATGGTGAGCAATGCAACTGAATACTACGTGCGATAGCAGCCACACCTTTGCTTGACTGCGCGGCCCGACTCCAGGGCCTCCAGCTTCTCCTCCAATTGAGCGATTTTCCGTCTCTGCAAAGCTTGTACATGTGCCGCTACTGCTTGAGATTGTTGCGGCTGAGTGTTGGGTTGGTCCTGCTGATTCTCAGCGTGCGATGTGCTGCCTTCGCCGTCGACGTACGACGTGTCGTCCTCGTCCTGCTGGCCCTCGACATGCGACATAACGGCAGGAACTCGAATAGGTTAGCGAACGACTGGAACAGTCCCTGAGGGATGAAGATAAAATGAGAGTGAGGAATAAAACTAACCCGAGCCCGCTCACATTTTATATGTTGGCCAAGACCGGTCCTAGTTGCCTAAAAAGAATACTGGGAACTAGTAAATCACGCTAGCACAAGCGATCAAGTCGCTTGAACAATTTGATACCTGTTTAGGAAATGGTTAACGTCGGCAAAATAAAGTTGGATGCAAAGTCACTAACGGCGTGGAAAATATGTACAGCGGGGCGTGACATGATATTGATTCCAGTAGCGTCATAATGTTAGTGGCAGTCAAGCTTTGAGGCTTTGGTACTCGTCGGTACTTCGTTGTCTGCGAGGTTGAGGATACCTGCATACATCCTGGCAAGATACTTTTCCGTTTTCGTGGAGGGTGCTACAAAGGAAGCGCCGCGTGCTTCGCTAAGAAGCTCGTCAGCGCGGGCGATATGCTTCGCCAGCCCACCTTTCTGAAGGAGGATGAGGAGGCGAGACCGGGAGAGTTTCCCCAGGGTTGTCTTCTCCATCTGCTTCACAGGAATGGGAACGATCATTTGAGGTGGCTGGGTGATCATCTTGACGTAGATATCGCGTAAAGCACGGTGCGTGATGGGTGCGTCTGCTCCATCGAGGTCGAAAGATGGCGAGTAGAAAATGACGAACCCTTCGGTTTCCT